TTGTATTCATTCTATTATAATTGTCACATTGATTTAGCTGAGTTTCGGTATCGTGAAATCTATAGTATTAATATAAATAGAAGATTTGTATCCTTCGTAAAACGAAAAGCTGATGGTGGCTTTAGTTAATTAATTTTGAATAAATTAATAGGTACATTATTCTTGTACACTATATCTGCACCATATTTATTTGTTGCCGACCATACAAGTATAATTGAGGGGTCAGGTTTGCACACAAGCTGATTTCGTAGTATAGTTGTGAAATATTAAATCTTAATAATATTGCACAACCAGACAAGGTCATTAGGAAAATCGGCCCAATTATTTGGCGAAATGCACGGCATTGCATTACACAACCTCACATGAGAGACTTATATAGACAGTACATTCGCCATCACGTGTCTGGCCCAGTGTGTAAACATTGATACTAAAGTTTTATGTAATGTCGTAATTTATAACGATTTATAACTACACTGATTTATTACAGTTGAAAATTGTATATGACATAATAAAATATTCGCTTAAACGATGTTTTGTCTATATATTTACGCGCAATTAACGTAAACATGATATATAGTAGGTTTTAATAATTTTTAGGTCGACTTACTTGCGTAAGTTATTAATCAATTACCATTAATTGAGATTATTTAACAGTTACGCTAATCGTTATGCTTATATAATATCGAGCAATATATAAGACTAACATATATATCGTAACATCGAGCAGCTAGTGATTGAGGCGTGCAACTCTCAATCCTGAGGTACAGCGATCGAATAACGGCTGTGCACCAATGGATTCGCACCGTTCTATGTGGGCATAAACACATTTGATAAAGGAAGACGACATGTATCAGGCACATAAAGTTGATCACTTATAAAATACAAAAATATCAAAGAAACGGATACAATATAAAGGTAGGACCAATATACCTATAGGGGTGTAGCCGCACTGGATAACTAACACTTAGTATATAAATACAAATATAGTCAAAACTGTATTAGAATAATACTTTTAGTTTAATTCATTTTATTGTTGTCGTTTAAGTATACAACTATAATAGCTTGTTATTTTAAATTTTACAACTAAAATAAATAATTGAAATTATTATACGCTCTTTAATACTTTAAAAGCCAATTTTGTATATTAAATTTAATTATCTTTAATAATTACTTTTAACTGCGATTAGTAATGGATGATTAATGGAAACATAAGTCTTTTTTTATTTGATCTATGGTGAATATTCTTATATCTTTACGAAACAGCTTAAGTTACTTTTAACTTTTTTTAATATCGTTACGTTGACTATGACTATTTAGGCTAAGTTCACATGCAACGCGCGTTAACGCAGGTCAACGCGCGATCTTTATAAAGAATTCAGATGACAAGCGCTAACGCGCGTTGTGACTTGCGACAGCTCGTCAGTCTGTTTCGATAGAGCTTAGAAAATTCTTCCCAAGCACGTCGTTTTAAAATTTTATTTTATTTGATTTTGAAGCTATAGCCCAAAACGCTGGCCTTTATCGGACTTCATCAATTAGTAAATCGATTTCTATATCTTGCGATTCACTCATTTCAAACTGAATACGAAAGCAAGTCACAAAAAAATCGTACACTCGCGATAGAAGCGCGTGCTCAACTGAACAGTCTACGGACGTTACATACATGTCAAAGCGCGCGACAACGCCGCGTTAGCGCTCGCTGACGCGCGTTGACGTGTATGTATCTCATGTAAACAGTTGTATGAAAATACCACAGTGTCTAGACGCATGATTTGAAAACGCGCGTCAAATTTTTGCCATCTGAACATGGCCTAGTAAAGCTTTTTTTTAAACAAGCACTCATCAGAAAGGTCAGTAAGGATTGGAATAATTATGATTATAGGAAAAAGAATAAATAAAAGCCACAATCATGAATGCTTGATATTTTATTTCAAAACATTTAAAGAAACGAATTCCATTCAACAATGAAACATACTTTGTATGAACTGACAATTGACAATAGCCTAGTTTGTTAATTTTTACAGTACTTAGCACCGTTAGTACTAATTTAAGACTAGATTTGCCTTATTATTTACATATATACACAATTTACATTTGATCTGATTAGAATCAACAAAAAGTCAGTCATAATTTAGTTTGTGCTTACAATAAATTAATTATAAATGTATGAACTAAGTAATTGTGCAAAATAAATAATTGATAATAATATTAAATTATTTACAAGTTGAATTCTTAACATTAAAATAATATCCAGATACTATATTTGAGCTATTATTTACCTATTACAACAATATGATAATACAATAATATTACGGCCACTTAAAGTCTAAATAACACAAAACAGGACTATAATGCACAATAAGTCATTAAAGGTACAGGTAATACAGTCAAGAAAGTGCAGTTTAAATTAAAAAAATCCTGATCTTGTTACTCGTGGGATCATATCAACCATCGCACATCTATACGGTACTAACAATGATAAGTGAACCATAAATACTAAACAAACTAACCAAAATAACAAGAAAATTTTACGTGGTCCCGAGAAACGATCACGACACCTTGTTAATTTATAAGTGTTAGATTTGAATAACTCCATTGTAAAATTGATAAACGTCTAATAAATATGCAAATAAAGACATACGATATACATTAAACTGTAAACTATTGGAACGTTAAAAAACACAAAAATATTTAAATTTAATTTGGATATTTAAAACGCTCATTCAAAGTATTTGCAGTCAGATTTTAATAAATAACGATTCGAGATCCTAGGAGCAAGAACTTTTAGAAGTTCGCAAATTGATCTTACAAAAACGTCGATCTTGAGAAATGTTTTGATCAATCATAAAAATTACATTAAATTACTCTGTGAAGTGCCATTAAATTGGGTAAATTTTCAGTAAACCACGTTATATTCTAATATTCGAAATTCTTAAGTCTATTTGCTATCGTGGAGTTGTTCTTTAATTATGTGCTTTAAAGAACATTGTTCAAATTATATTGGAACATTAATTTTGCCGAGAAACGGCTAAATTAGTCGTCAATAGACGCCAAACGCTTTATTATTGTCTAAGCATTCAAGCAATTCAATAAATCCACGTTGTGAAGATATTTGAATATTAAAAAAAAATTTACAACGTAAAACTTAATTAATTCTAAAGACTTTGCTATAAAATTCATTATTTTTGACATTTTTGTACGGCATATTCTCCATCTCAAATATTTTTGGATTCAAATCGTCTCGATTCTAATTCAATAACATGCTGAGAACACTGGAGATAAGTGAAGTCATTATTGTAAGAAAATTGGCAAATAATCACGTAGTAACGTGCCTTTCGCTAGTACTACAATTTTATGTTCTTTGCAATTATGCTGTCATTCAAATTAATTGATATAATATTAAGACATGAACTTTTAGGTACAGATACAGAACATACCGTGAGAAAACTCTCAGTTTAATTTCAATACTATTTGTTTATTTTAATAGATCAGTGTTAATCTTGCAGATCAAAACTGAGGTCACGAGTTCCTAGTCCACCTATACAAAAATGGATATTTTCTAAACCCGTATGTCTGCATAATCGACATGTGTCAAGCACAGTACACATGTCGATAAAACAGATACAGACATCTAGAGAGTAGGTACATACTGAATTCATGGAATACGTAGTGTATTATTTTGAACAAAAGTAAACAGAAAGTCTATTCCAAATAGAATCTCAGGGCTGCTTTGTATTATGCGGCCAAATATAACAAATATGTTGGTAAATGAATATACGGCGGTGACAGGAAATTGCATTTGGTAGCACAATGAACTCCGAGTGGCCGTAATATTAGATGAGGAATTATTGGTACTTCTCTCGGTTACACGGTTATTTTATAGATCCTTAATGCCAATAAGAATTTAATTATTAAAAGCCAATTGATACGTGTAATAGAGACAACAAAATAAAATAGTAAAACCATATCATAAATCCTTATTTTACTTACCAAACTTGTCGATAAAGCACGTCGCTATATCCAAAATACTATTCGTATATGCTAATAGTAGATATAGATCGATAGGAAAGAGAAATGTAACTACGCCAAAAACATAGAAGATACTATAGCGGATCTCAGCAAAACGAACGAAACTAATTTCAATGCTATTAGACATATCCGATTTGTGAAAGATTTGTTTTTTTGTTTGCAATATATATGCGGGTCCTATTTTTCTTTTCTATAAAACAATCTCCGAACTATAGCAATTACGAACGATATTTTAAATTTAGTAACAGGATGACTGGCCATGTCTGTTAACGTCATCGTAAATATATATTTGTGTTTAAAGATTTCTACATACATATTAAACAATAGATGGTTCTGATATTGAAATATTATGTAGAACATTAAAGTTTATCAGCATTATATGGAATTACTTGCTGATACAGACTAACAGATAGGTAAAAAAATTATTTACATTATAAAAGGAACACAGTCAGCTTAGTTATATTACATCATCGGAGGGATTTTGAGCATTGTTATGATTATATTATTTGGATCAAAGTAATTTCTTCTTAATAACAGAAGGGTGATATTACATTATTGAATGTTTTTAAGAAGAAATTTGCACCTAAAATATATGACATTCAACGAAGAAGTGAATATTTTATTCAAGCTCACATTCTTGAAAATTCTCTGACATACATTACTAAAAATTTTATACACACTAAGTAGGTCCGAAAAACGCGAACCTGTTCAACTTGGCGTCCCGCAATAAAAATCTAAATACTATTTAAATTTTTTATAACAAATATTTTTTTAATACAAAAAAAAAATTCTCTATTGTTGTATCCCAAGAATTGAATACATTTAATATTTCTTGGGATCTATTTTACTATTTAAATTTTTTGAAAACACTGTTATAATAAGATTTTTGGTACACAGAGTAAAGTTTTCACACAAAAGTACGTTTACCTATTTCTTCTATCTAGATGTCACAACAATGCTCTATCATGCATTTATATACAGCTTTCTTGCACGCGATGTGAGGTGGTAACCACTTCTGGTCGCAGGCGATGTGCGGTCAAAGATGATGTGACGCCGCTTCCGGAATTGGGGCTTGTCGTTACTCCCTTATTTGCTCGTCCTAGACTATGGTATGACTGCTGAAAAACACAATACATGTACCATAAGATTTGTACTAAAACGTACTTAGAATAGTTTGTATACAGTCAAGTGGAGTCAAAGTGTAGGGTACCTTTTTCTGAAAGTCTTATCAACATTTGACAAGGCTTTGATCGCAAAGACGCGTGTGTTTATTTCACTTTATATTTAGCTTGTGTTCGACAACGGATACCTTTTATATTTACGCGCAAATATAATCTTGGAACTTCAAGTTAAAACTATTAAATAAGTACGCCCAATTACCGTGCTACAGGTTTTTTTAAATTTTTTTTATGATTGGACAATTCACACCAATTGACCAGTCCCATGCTAAGCTGGTGAAGCTTGTGTTATGGGTTACTAGGCTACGGATATACATACATATTATACATAGATAGACCTAACACATATAAATACCCAAGGCCTATGCACAACACCAAATGCTTATCACATCGATGTTTGTCTCAGATTATCCCCGGGGATCGAACCCGGGACCCATGGGTTCGCAGTCAGGACTACTAACCACTAGACCCATGAGCCGTCCGTATACCGAGAAAACTTGGCATTATAATATTTGGCAGTATGGGTAAATTTTAAACAGTAACCTTTTTAGAATACCAATAATTGAAAATGTATAGCAACAAACAATTGGTATTAAAATCATAAAAAAATTTACTCTTTAAAATTGTTCGTCATCTGTTGAAATGTTTGTATATAAAACAAGTTCAATTCCTTGTTAAATTCGGAGTTAATATAGGAGACCATACCGTCAAATGAAATCGTTATGAATACTAACACTAGTCAAAGGAATCCTGTAGTCCTTCTTCCGAAAGTCATAGTAGCCCGCGCCGTCAGGCTCCGATCTCAAGTCATCGTTCTTGCTTAGTTTGTTGTTGGACTGGGGGCGCTGTAAGCTCATATATCCATTCGAGACTGGACGACGTTCTGTACCACGAAATATATTTTATACTAGCTGCTCTAAAGTAAATATTGACACCGGTGTCATTGTTAAAAGACTACACACTTATTAAAATGTGATTTACATGGAAAGATGGCTATTTGTAAGTGTAGTTGAAGCACAGCGAGCGTGATACTCGACAACAGCTGTCCTGTATTATTAAAGAGCTATTCTGCGTTGCAGCGTCTGCTACGGTGCCTGGTTTTATCTAGTTTGTATTAAAAAATAAGCAATGTTTAATTTGCTCTTTATCCTATGATTCTAAATGCATATTATATAAAAATAATAATAAATATAACATATATCATTATGTTAGAACAGCGAATAAGTCTCACCGTATAGATTTGGTATAATGTCTGGATCGGCGTCGTCGCCGAGGTCTTCTCTTAGTAGCGCTCCACTTGCTCCACCAACTCCCGATCCCACATTGCTTCCTTCATTGCAAGCCTCTTGCTTTACGGGAGTAGGACATTGTCCCGCCCGATCATTATAGATAGCCTCACTAAAAAAAATATGAGTTTTATCTTTTTTTTTTCGCCCATGGCTATAGTCTTTCGACCATACCGCCTAGTCTTTCGTAGAATTTTTCCTTTAACTATATATTAAGTTCATTTATGTCTTTCGTAAAACGGTAAAGTAATTATTAGTAAATTTCAATTTCATTTCAAATCCATGTTTTAAGTTATGTCAAATCGATATCAAGTGGAGTCAGATGTATTATCACTTGTATTGTCAGTGGTCGAATCCGTGCAAATATCATAGTATATATACATAGTAGTATAAAGACCTGAATTATAACCTTAAATTTGAATCAAATTACGACTAACATAAGTTTAAACTTCAATAAGTAAACGTAGATAATCACCTATACTTGTCTATGGGAGGCAGATAAGATCTCGCGATCGCGCACAGGCGCACAGATTATAGAAAAATGTAACTAAATAATTAACAAATACTGTCTTTATATCATTAGTTTTTTAGATGCAAACGCATTGCTTGTTTAACATTTGGCGATTTAAAATTTGAACGCGGTGTTCGTACACAGCCTATTAGGACTAATTTTAGTGAAACCACCAGTCGTTTCGTTTTTGTTCTGTAAATTGAAACTCCCTTGTTCTACAGTTAAAAGTAGCACTTACTTTAAAGGCGCGTGTTTTGCTGGCATGTGTCTATGTCTGGCGTGCCGACGGTATAGTATAGCTAACACGCCACACAGCGCTGTGACAAGCAGCGCAGACATTGCTGCTATTGATGCCAACACCGGCGATATTCCCAAAGAGTTACTTTCACCTATCAAAAAGTCATCTATTGAATCGAAGTTTACTCCATTATAAAGTATTTTAACAACCTTAATCTTGGTTACAAAGTAACAGTGACAGCGGAAAGACGTTTTAAAA